GGGGGGGGGGGGGATTGACACTTTAGGATTGGACGGGATTATATTATATTTAATAATAGGTTGCTTATGCGTGAGAAGGTCAGGCCGGTGACATGAGAAAAATCATAAGGATTCTGATTGATGATTCCCGATGATCAGAATCTTCCTCGATGGACCACAGTTGCAGTCATCCGCAGAGGGTTCAATTGATTCCATTACTGCCCTGCGATCTGATGCAGTCTCATCGGCTGATGTGACTGATTTCTTCTCGAACTCCAGTTGACGGGGAGATGATCACATATGTCAAGATGCACATATGACCACGCGGTGGAAAATCCACGCGAGAATGCTCGTGAGCGTGCTGGATTTGAAAATCGAATTATCTGTCAAAGAATGAAGATAAATTTTTAAAATATTAAAAGGAAAGCAGTCTCCCTTTTTTTTTTTTTTTTGAAGAGCTGCATAATCCATAACGTTCGTTTCCTCTTTCTTTCAGTAACAAGGACTGTCGATGTGATAAAAGAAAAATACTGGATCCACCATAACAGGAATTTCGTTATCAAGGTGGATTTACAATAGTGAGAATTGGCCAATCAGCGTTTTCGAATATTAGTGCTTCCCGCCATTTCACAGACTTCCGGCGAAACCTTCTATTCTTCTTCACGTATTCGATTGGTGCGAATGGAGCTGGGGTTGTCGTACATATCTATGTAGAGTCTCTCTTGATGCCAGACAGTATTAAAAAGGAAAATAGAGTTCGGTGGTCAATACTTGATTAAAGCACAATAATGCCGTGGGACTTAATAAAGGAACATGGTTGGATGGGAACCAACGTGATATCAGTGACGTATCACGACGGCGTCCTATTTTACTTTCTGCGGTGTTATCCCCGATAAGAAGAATAAAACTTCTTAACTTGGTACGTCGTATCACTCTAATGAAATTGCACGTTCAAGATAGTTGGAAGTCCTTTAAGCTGCATATCCATATGCCATCAGCCATCATCTTGGCATCACTTCTTCTTCTTCTTCTTCTTCTTCTTGTCCTACTCCTCTTCTCTTTTCATTTCCATCTTTCTTTGTCATCTTGTATCCTCAATCTTCTTCATATTCTGTTTCCTCTTATATTCCATCATTCACACTTTTTTTTTTCACATTCACTCTGATTCTCTCTCTCTCTCTCTCTCTCGCTCACGTATTCTCCTCTCACATTTCTCCCTTAGACGTACTCAATTTTTTTGGTTGCTTTCACTGGAAAAGCCTTTTTCTATACATTTTTTTTCTTCGTCATCTTCAACCTCATCCTCTTCCTCCTTCATATATCTTCCTTACAAGCGATCCTCCAGTCGTCAATAGTCAACGTCATCTTCACTTATTTTTCTTTTTTTACAATCGACTGGTCACTCCATTATAATGGACCCGATGTTCCCCATTAAATAGGGGCTGCGGAGCGCTTTTTTTATATATGTTTGCAACTCCGCGGGCATTTCGGGTCACACGTATATCCAGACAAAAAAATCTATTCTCTCTCATCCACTTGCTCTTTCGCACTACCTTCCACTCTTTTCATCACTTACGTACTTCTATGTATAACTCTAGTCATGTAATATGTACGTGTATGTATGTAAATGAATGCATATATATATATATATATATATATATATATATATATATATATATATATATATATATATATATATATATATATATATATATATATATATATATATATATATATATATATATATATATATATATATATATATATATATATATATATATATATATATATATATATATATATATATATATATATATATCTTTTATGGATGCTGATCCAGACCGAGGAACGAGACATTCCTGAAGCTCCATCATCCCGAGACAGCTAGTTCCCCAAAAAAAGAACCGTCAGAATTGTTTTCGAAAATCCTCTCAGACGCAACTGATCCGTCATCCAATTCCAGACTTCCACGGAGCAAAGAGACCCGGTCGTTATCTTCAATCTTGCCCGTCTTCCTCTACCCTGCTGTTCCTCCAGCTGCTGCGGCTGCAAACGTGTACACAAATACGGTTGTAGAGCGATCCAATAATCATGGACTCCCTTCAACAGGAAGCTTCTACAGAGTACAACAACAAGAGAACGGATGGGCTGGTTGATCACCCTGAGAAAATAATCAGCATCCTCACCTTGTGGTAGACGCCGATCCAAGGCTTCCTGGTCGTCCCCGTAATACTCTGTAAAGAGGGTCCAGGGTGCCCAATCGGGGAATGCTCATCGGTACTCTGCAAACCAGCCTTCTCCTTGTGGATGCACATCAATGACGTACACCGACCCATCGGAACGAACAATGACAATTGTTCCCGCTGACCACTACGGCTCTCCGGATGATCCCCTCTTCCTCAATAAATCGAGTTCCCCGACGAAGCCAATGGACGCTGCTCCACCTGACCCCTCCACGACGAGTCTACCAAATTCAAAAGCACTCCTCCCGACGGGAAGGCTCCTCCTCGTCCGGACGACGACGACGACGATGCCACCTGGCGGTCTTCTCCCAGGACAAACGACAGTCCTCGCTCTGCTTCCATCGATGACGTAACGGGAACACGATCCACGAAGTCCACAAAGTTGATCGAAAGAAAATATAAACAAAATGGCCGGATGGTACCGCCGACGACCAGTAGTAGCATTGATCAGTGTTCTCATCCGTTCTTCAGGACGAACTCCTTTGGATCCTGTACGTCGGGCGCGCCTCGCGCAAACACGAGTCCATTGTTTCACGCTGTAAACAACGAGCTGCGCGAATATGATTTTTTTTCTTCTTTTGTTGTTTTTTTTTTCACACAAAAAAAATCGGATCGTCCCACATCGTAATTGCGCGTTGCGTACCGCCCACGTACCTGCGCCAGGTGGATGCGCAGTAACCGCACGCGTCACGAACGAGGACACAAATCTTCCTGCTGCTGCTGCTGCTGACCGGCGGAGACTTGCGCCCGCATCTTGAAGTCTTGACGTCAAATGACAATCGAGATGAAATTTCGGTGGTGGTCGTGATAACATATAACTATTCGCTTAACAAAATATCTTCGTATACACATTATACACGATATACGTATACACAAATATATGCATAAATATATATATATATATATATATATATATATACGTATATAAATATACACATGTACAGTCCGCGACAATAGTTTTTATCGTTACGCCCGAGGCGCGTTTTACCTTAAGAGTAGTAGCCTAAAAAGCGTCACGATATCGCTTTGCGAAATACACAATATATATATACACATATATATATATATATATATATATATATATATATATATATATATACGTATATAAATATACACATGTACAGTCCGCGACAATAGTTTTTATCGTTACGCCCGAGGCGCGTTTTACCTTAAGAGTAGTAGCCTAAAAAGCGTCACGATATCGCTTTGCGAATTGCGTACGGATCGTGAGCGCGCTTAATTATTCGTTACCATTAATGTCGTGTTCCTTTTTTTCTTTTGGTGGTTCTTAACGAAAATCACAGAGAGTTTTGTGTGTTCGGAGTGTAGCTGTATACTGGTGTATATGGACTTGTGTGTACGTGTGTCTATAGAAAAAAAATAATCTTAATCTAAGAACATACGTCGAAACGTGACCAAGAGAACAAAAGAGACAATTATTGGACTCGTTCGTTTATTCTCTCGTCGCGCTCCTCTTATTATTTATTCGCCATTAGGAAAGAGAAGAAAAATTATAATAAAACAAAACGACGGCTCGGTGCTTACGTAGGAACGTAACGCATCAAGTTCCCGGGCAATCTTTATGTATACGATAAATGGCCTCGACTGCGGCATACGTATCAGCATCGGGATACGTATGTCCGAAACAAAAAAGAAGAAGAAAAAATAAAGATTTCGCGCGGAGTCAATAATAAATTGCTGATGGGCTCCGTTCTCGTATCTCATAACCCACGGCTGGTGTTTCGTGAGGCAGGAAAGGCGAGAGCGTCACCAGACAAAAGGTGCGTCTCTTCCAAAATGCAACATTTCTTTCTTTCATTCCTCTCTTGCACTTTGGAAGTACTTGTACGTTCGGTTGCGCTCGCTTCGTAACGCGCGTGTCTTTCCACCCGCGCTTCGGCACAGACAACACTCTCACACATACGGGGCACACGGGGCACACGGGGCACACGGGACGCTCAGGCACTCATATATTTTTACGTGACATTCGCTACGTTCAAACTGTCTCTCCATATATATATGTGTATAACATGTATGTAAAGATATATATATATATATATATATATATTCCCGGTATATCAAGGTACATCATCGAATCTCGGTTCGCTAAAATAATCAGTACGTTCTGCTTTCGACCAGCAGCAGCGGCGGCGGCGGCAGCGACCGCAGAAAATATTTCCAATCTTATAGAGTAATACCTATAATTTTCGTACCACTTTTTGCATTTATTTAAAAAAAAAAAAAACCAAAAAAAAATTTAAAGCACAGCATCCGAGCTTACTCTCATAACTTCATTGAGACCAATGGAGGGCGATATGGATATGCAAATTCGTGCCCTTTCCTTTTGTCTCGCCGTTTGTTACCATAACGCAATAAGCCTAGCCTAACGGAGCGCGACACAGGAGAGAAAGAAAGGAAAAGCCCAAGAACAGTAACAACTCCCGACGATATCCGCGGTTCCTTGGAATTTTGACGATTTGAATTTGGCGCTAGTTTCTAGATACATTTTTATTTTTTTTTTCTTTACCCAATGTCATCCGTCACGAATAGAAGCGAGCTCCGCCGTGACGTTAATGTTCATGGGTATTTCTTTTTTTTTCTTTTTCTCGATAATTACAAAAAAAAATTATATTCGCACGAGTACCGTTAAAAATCAGTACACGTTTTTCTCTCTTTCTTTCAATTTCCATTAAAATTCTTAAAGCATCCCACTTCCATCACCGAATATCGATATCGAACGTATCGCCTGTTCGTGAGTCCTTCTTTCTTTGTTTCTTCTCCTCTCTTTATCCCTGTGTACCTAATCAATATCTCACTTCGATTTTTCGTCCTTTCCCTTCGTTCGTTTCCAGTCTGTTTTTCTTAGTTTCGCCTTATCTAATCTCCTCCCTCTCTCTCTCTCTCTCTCTCTCTCTCTCTCTCTCTCTCTCTCACGATCACTCACCATCTCAAACAAGCCCATTGCATCAAACGCTTTTGTACGTTTCGTACGTTATACGATATATCACATTGATTGCCGGCTGACTGGTGGATCCTCCCGATCCTTCGCATCGTCATTCCCATTCGCATTGCCTTATATCATTTTCTTTCGCTCTCCGAATCATTCTCTTAGACATTAAACAAAATGGGCTCCCTCCTCGCCACAAAGGGCAGGCTAACAAATTCTTGTAATGCATTAGACTAAATATTTTCAAGTTATTCATAATCGTCCGTGACTATAGCCATTGCCGTCCCCCCCCCCCACCCGCCCAGCCAATCGAATTTCTCTCAATTCGACTTCGAGACGACAACGACGACGGTCAGGCGCACGACTTTCATAAAAATGAAAAAAAAAAAAAACGACTACTGTTACTTTGTACGAAGGATAACTTAAGATTAACGTTGCATATAAAGCTTCGAAATAACAATGTGAACGGTACTAATTGTATTCGTCAAGTAATGAGATTTTCATTTTCATTTTGCATTCCTTCCGATTCGGCAATCGGACAACCGAACATTGACTCACGCTCTTTTCTATCATTTGCGTATCAACTTTTTCTCGAAATATATGCTCTGCCGAGTCGAGATTATTTTCCGTCTATTACTTTGCTTTTTCTCTTCGTCTCTGTTTTACCTACAAGACCTTCATTCCCATACTAATAATCAACCGGATAAAACTCTTCGCTCTGGCGAGGTGACTTTTGAAAATTCTTTTCCGGTTCTCTCTCTCTCTCTCTTTTTTTGTTTCTTTTTTCTTTTCTCTATTATTGTTTCTCTCGAAACGGCCAAACCCACTCGCCAAAAGTGTATAAATTCTATCTGTTGTACATACCGGCTTCTTTTGGTGACGATATGGATCGTGGCAAGCGGAAGGCGGAATGTAAAATTGTGTTTTATACATTTTCATTGTTTGTTTGTTTCTTTTTTTTTTTTTAAATAATAATTCTTTGAGAAAACAAAAAATTACCGACTTCCGCGTCCAGTTTCCACGGTCGTGTCGCGCCTATCGATTAAATTTACAGTAACATAACATTAGTGTTACAAGTATTTTCGCATCTCAGTTAGATCATTAATCGTATTTATAATTGTAATCGTAATCCTCAGTATCATCACCACCTTATATTCGATTATTAAAATTATTATCATTGTACATACATACTTATTTACTTCTCCTATCACGTTATTCATATACACATATATAATATATATATATATATATATATATATATATATATATATATATATCGATCAGTTATCAATTAAAAATAAGTAGTACCTATAGGGTCATCATCACAGCTAATTTCCATTCTTTTTTTTTCCACCAACTTTCTTTTTCTCTTTTCCCTGATCATCCTCCATCGTCGATACGCGTTATTATCATCAACTATCAATATTATTGTTACAAGTCGATTTTTTCGTTTACCCGAATCGCGCGCTTCGCCACGTAAACGTGCATATCGAGCTCGAGAACTATCGTTACATACGATTACTCAATTGCCATACGAAATACAAGTGGCATTTTACCTCACGAGTTACGAAAACTACAAGAATTACAGAATTGAAAAAAAAAAAAAGAAAAATTGTGACAAGACGCATCGTGACGTCGTCGTCGACACCGTGAACGGGTTACAGTAATTTTACAGAAAAGTACATATTTTTTGTTTAAAAGATGATAAAGACAATTTTTTTTGCCAATCAACAGCAAACATTCTTATTGATCTTTCGGGCGTGATAAAAGAAAAAAAAATCGTCTAGCAAATTCTCATTCTCGATATTGTCACCAGTGGCGAAAATATTCGTATTTTTTTTTTTCCGAAAGAAATAAAAATTTCCATAGCGACACTCCCCTCCCCCAAAACTCTACCGAATAAATTTTTTAGCTACAACTCACGAATTCGAACTTTCGATCCTTCATTGATGGCAACTCGCGATTTGCTCCTCTGCAGTATCGACGATAAAAAGCATTAATTGATCGTCGTGCCAGAAGGCTGAGAGAGAGAGAGAGAGAGAGAGAAAGGAGGGGGAGGTCGTCACAGTTTAGTAGAACGAATGGAGGACGGTGAAAATTTATTTTTGTAAATGTCAAATTTTCATATCAAGTTGGTAAACGTCGCGAGATGACGGAAGCAGGCGGACTTGACATTGGCAGCAAAAAAAAAAATCAAAAAAAAAAAATCTTTTAAACGCAAAACTTGACGTAGTCCGCTATTATTTTCGCAGGTCTAAATATTATCTACGCATACTGTGTGTGCGAGAGAGTCTATCCTAAACATGACTAAATACGTCTGCCTTATTATCCTGTACAGATGAGGTATCTGTGTCGATCGCCTACCGCCTTTGAATTTCGCGATAGGAATCGTCGATCTTCCGAATTCATTGAGCTCATCGAGAACTACGCCAAGCCTGAGGTCGCAAAGAATTCGCCATCGAGTCCAGTCCTCTCTCGCGATCGGATGACGATAATCGAAATCTCGCGACGTTTCGCAGAAAAATTAGCGCCAATCGTAGATCGGCGCTTCGACCCACGTGCGTCATTGCGCCATTGACTAACGGACAAATCGGATCGATCAAATTGCCTGGTTGACGCGTATATTTGCATTGCGTGTAAGTCAGATTCTATAGATACCATTAAAAATTTCATTATACGACGAAACGACATTGCGACAAGTATGCGTATTCATTATATATATGCACTTTCTTCGTACACATATATATGCACGTGTTCCATTTTTCCGTATTAAAGAAGTAGCGATCGAACGTAACCGAAAAGAAAAGATTTTTTTAAAAACACACAAAAGCCAGAAATTGCACGTTTTGACTTATTCCCTTTCTCTTGCTTCTATCGTACCTACAATATTAACTTCGCCCTAATTTCAAGCACGCTTGCGCCGACGGTACGCGACGATCGTCACGTCCGTCACTCTAGCATCCCAATCGCACTGTCTCTCTCACTCGCCTGCACTTGTATCACACATTCTCTCTGTATCTCTCTCTCTCTCTCGCTCACGCATACGCAACTCATTCTCACGCACTCGCCTTCCCGCTGGCATTTACGCGGACTCGCATCACGTGTCCTAAAATGAAAGTTTGGGGGTGGGAGGGGGATGACGACAAAAAAAGTGAATATAGAAGAGGAAATCAACAAAAAAGAAATAAACCACAAAAAGTCCTGAAGCACGATGATTAAGAGCACGGACGCTTCTTTTCCTTATTGGGAGATTTCGAGAAGAAAAAAAAAATCAGTCACGTGAAATTACTTGGCATTTTCAATATCGTTATATAATAGTGAAACTAAAAAAAAAGAAACGAGCCATCGTTTTAAAACGCTCAATCGGAGAAATTTCGTCGGCGCTGTGGCACCTTGTTAAAAAAAGGGGGGGGGAGGGTGAACGAAAAAAAAATCAATTCAAATGAAAAAAAAATAAAAGTAACCGAGTGAAAGATAAAGCAAATACATATATATATATATATCCCCAATGAAAAAAAAAGAGACAAGTGTTTCTTTGGGGG